GGTTCATGCAAAAACAAACTTAGATTCATTCCAAATTTTCTTTCCCACCAGAAGTCAGATGTTTAAAGTCTGTGGTTACTGATGTTACACACCTGCCCATTTTAACAAGGTCTGCTGCAATTTCAAAGCGGTGGTGAACCTCAGGGCGGTCTGGTTCACATGAGATCCTTTTTTTAACTCTGAAGCTGTGCCTGTTTTAAAAACTACATTGTTTTCTTTTCTTTTTTTTCTTTTGTTTTCATTGTAAATTTAAAGATGAAGAATATAATTTACTGCACTGAAACTTAATGAGGCATCCCTGCAGAGATACAGTTTTATCCACTGGTCAGGCTGAGTGTTCAACGTGTTGCCTCAGTCCCATAAACACAAGAAAAAGAGATCTGCTCATGGATGAAAACGTTGACAGCTCTCTTCTTTCCTGGATGGGTGAGGAGTAGCACTGAGAGGCCTTACAACTGGAAACAGATGGCTTCTTAATGTGCACATGCCTTTGGAGAGAGTGAATGTGAAAATGAATACATTTTTATGAATTAATGTGCGATTTACTATTTTCTATTGTATGTGAAGCAAATCTGCAAACGAACCAGCAATCAAGCCTAATCCTGAACAATTACAAGTATGTTTCAGGAGCAAAATCCAAAACATATAAAAGATATAATAAAGTCAGCCACATTATCTCACCTCGTATGGTTGTACGGTTCACTGCCAAACAGAAGATATAAACAAAAGCAGAGCGTGCCAAAGTGTGACTTAAGTGCTGCCATGAAACCTTCAAACAATCTAGTTTTGCAATCAGCAGTGAAGAGCAAAATACATTCCTTTCATTTTTTCATTTTTCTGCTTCAGATTTCACTTTTTTTGGACAAATGTTGTTTAGGTTGGCCTCCAGGGGTGACTCTAAGTCTATCATCCTATTTTCTGGGTGTCTTGGAGTCAGAGAGTTGACAGTCTGAGCCACTTGATCTTCCTCTTGGTCTCATGGGTGCCATTGGATATGAATGGTTTTAATTATTCTTCTGGCCTGGCTTGCATTTTTTGGACACAAATACGAACGTGAATGGGTATTTGATTTTGTTGTTTTAATGTGACTCCACGTTGTGATGCAATTCTGAACATCTTTTTGAAAAATCTTTGAAAAGAACAGAGCTAAAAGTGCATTTTCATGTTGGATAAGATTGATGATGAACATATTGAAATAATTTCAATGGACTTTACAAGAAGTTTGAGCCTAGTTACATTATTTTGCTCTTAAAAAATAAATTTAAAGCTTATTTACTGTTATTTATATTTCAGGTTAACTGCTAAAATCGGTTTAGTGAGACTACAGGTGGTTTAGTAGTGCTCTGATAACCAAGCTGTGGTCATTTTCTCATTTGTCAATGTGTTGACAACACAGACACGTTGCATGAAATGCATTATGCATCATTAAGACAACTATCAAAAAGTCCAGTGATTCCAGTAAAAAAAATAAAAATCCTGCTCATTGTCATCCATTTTAACGAACAACAGATTTGTGGTTTTCAAACTGAAGATTCAAACTACCAACTTGGCAAAATTATAGCATGAAACAGAAACAAAAGTCAACAGCAGTCACAATAAATCATGCCCTGAGGCAGGATTATAAGATTGTAAAAGACAAGGCAGATAATCCACTAAGAATGTGTCACCTCTGATTATAACGGTCACTCCTCAGTTGGGATCAGTGTTGATAGAAGCAAACACTCCAATAAAGGAATACTGTATTTTCCGCCATACACGTCGTTCCACCCTATAAGTTGCATCAGTCCATATTTGGACGGATCAGTATCTGTGGTCAGATTCTTCAGATTCACTGCAGGAGATCCTTCCTGCCCGCAGCTGTCAGCATCTAACAACTCATGAATTAATTTAGGATGATGAGCTATCACAACACTTAATTTCCCTCTGGGATTAATAAAATATTTTTGAAATGAATTGAAATGAATTGAAACCGGAGTACCTGGAGAAAACCCACGCATGCATGAAGAGCACATGCAAACTCCACCCAGAAAGGTCCCCAGTCGGGATTCAATTCTCACTGAGAGGCAGCAGCTCTACCAACTGAAGCTCTAATCTAAAAAAATAAAATAAAATCATAGTTTATAGAAGCAATATTTTATAAATATTTAACTTGTGCCAGTTTTGCATTACTGTACCTAGATATTCTGGCAGAAATGAAAAATTTTGGACCCAGGCGGCACAGAAGTACTACAGCTCGTGATGCCCACAGCAATCTGTGTAAACAACATGTGTGACTGTATTCTTGTGAATTTATAGTGGAACTATGATGTTGTTGTTTTTCTTTCCGTTGCTCCCTTTTCATTGTCGTTCCTGATGCAAACTGGGCCTGAACCTGCAGCCATAGAATTAGGAGATTGTGGCACTCACCACCAAGCTATCGCAGCCCTTAAGTGTATCTATAAAGTACAGTTTAAAAAACCATTAGCTCTTTGGGTGAGACATTTCCTCTCTCCTTTTTGTTACACAGATTTCTGCCATGCTCCAGCAGAGACATGTGCATGTGAGTGCTAATGACTATGATTAGGGAGCCTGGCTTAGGTCCTGCTGTGGTTTATGGCACACACATACAAGCGCGCGCACACACGTACAAATGCATGCGCAGATAAATTGAGATCTGGGTCTGTTTTGTGTAAATTTGCTCAGAAACCCCCCAAAAGCAGAAAACATACACCAAAAGATGCACTACTTAATTAAAACTTGAAATCCATGCAATGAGTTTTCCACATAACAGTCCTAAATAACACAGATTAGAGTAAACACAGTTGAAACCAACTCATTACTCATATTCGTGGAGGAAGCCTCTAGGATAAACATCTTAACAACGTGGGTGTGCTCATGTGGCACACAATCAGTAGAGATGCATTTAAATAAAAACAAAAATCTTCAGAGTTAAAACAAAATTACAAAGTAAGAGCGGCTCTGATACCACTAATAGGCTCTTCTTTTTGTTAAAATGGATCCCTTTAGCTGGGGCAGTGCCGGCTCAAGCCTCCATGGGGCCCTAAGCAAAATTTGGTTTGGGGCCCTCTATTTCTGCTAATAATGTGAATTACTGCAATCAACAGTCAGATGCTCAGATCATTCACCACCTAGCAAAACTCATTGCAACTCTGACAGCCCTGTTTACATTAACCTATATGTAATTATGTATATATCATCTGGTGCAGGGGCGTCAAACTCTTTTTCATTTTGGGCCACATCAAGCTCATGAATGTCGTCAAAAGACCGGACATGGCAGAATGTATTGATAAAACCAAATTACCAAACTGGTGAAATATAACTTTCTCTGCATTCGATGACTACTTCCAAAAATTAAATATTTTGTGTTTGAGTAATTTGGCATTATAAACATAAAAACTGATTTGATTTGACTGATAAATGTTGTCTTGAAGTTTTGTCTCTGTGGCCCTCTAGGGTGTAGAGAGCCACAGAAATGGTTATGGCGAGCCGGATTTGGCCCACGGGTCTTGAAGTTGACACATGCGATCTAGTGGTACTAAAAGTAACAAAAAAAAAACAAAAAAAACACCAGTATGTATTTTACAGCAAAAGTGTCATTTGGTTTATTATGGTTCCAAAGAACTGCAACAGAAATGTTCAGAATAATTTGTAATGCAAGATCAAAAAAATTCACAACTTTATAATGAAATTGTGTGTAATAGAATCATATAGAAATCATTACTTAAAAAAAAAATCAGTTCTACTGGATGTATTACAGTAATAGAAGAAATGAATGAATTAGCCACACAGGCGGTCCCTGAGAGAGACTACAGAGGGGCAACAGGTGGCTGTCAACTTAAAGAGGCTCATCATCCACTTAGAGAAGAGTGGCGAGTTGGTCTGTCACTCCCCAGGTCCCGCTAAGCTAAGCCAGGCACTATCAGGGGGGTAGAATAAGATAAACTCTGGAGGAGTTTTCAGGCAAATATTTACAATTGCAGCCTTAACAAACTTGTGACCTGTTACATCAGACACTTATGAGCAGACCTTTGGTTGTGCAGAGTGAATCAGTGAGCACCTCCTATTAAGAATATCAGTGCTGTGCACATTTATGAGAAATTATGCATCAGTTACATGATTGTAGTGTCAAGAATGTTAACAAAATCCTCTCAGTAATCTACAAACTCAATTTTAGCCTTTTTTCCAGTTTGCTGCATTCCACCAAAACTTTACTGAGCTGTCCTAATATTTTCCAGACCTTTCCACCTTTTTGATAAGTACAATCAAAACCCAAACCTATTGACCTCATTGAAGCAAAAATGGTCTGTGCTTGTGGTTTACTGTACTTCTCTTGCTCCAGAGGAAACAGCCGAATGTAGAATCTGACAGTCTGCAGCTTAATAACCTTTGCAGATCCTGAGTTACTTTTGCACAGTAGGAGGGAGAGCATGTGTCTTTATGAGATTATGTTCTACAAACATAATGTGCTCCTAACAGACTGTGCTAGTTAATGACTTTTAAACAGCTTCTTCATTTATTTTATGCTATAAAACTGAATTAAACAAGGTCGCAAAACAAATAGCACATACTTATCAGAACTGTCTTTCAGGAAAGAAGCAGAGGATGTAAGCCAATGTGTTTAAATAAAATCTGAAAGCCAACATCTGAATCGCATTGTGTCTACATGTGTCTGCACACATGCAGAGCGCATGCATGTTTGCATGTGTTTTCACTCAGCTCTTTGTGCTAGTTGCTTCACATTACTCAAAGAACACAGAACGCAGTAACTCCCTCTGACTCATGCCAGCGCTCTGTGTTTGGAGTGCTGTTGATATGCTGTTAATTGTCACTCAGATTACAAATCCCGACTCTGTCACACAGCTGCCACTGTGCACGTGCAACACAACTTTGAAGAGAGCAAGGATGGAGCTCATATCACTTCTGATGAAACTAAGGAGGGCAAGCTGAACCTGATGAAGAAAAATGTGGCCAATTAAAGTGGAATCCAGTTTATAACTCACCGATGCAGGCATGGACTCTGACTGACAGCTGTGTTCGAAGAATGATGCTGTGTTTCCTGCCCCTCCTATAAAAAAAGACAACTTATTAAGAAGACGTTTGTAACATTAGCAACATTTAGGTGGTTTGTGTGTGTGCATTTAAGTGTACAGCAGAACTGTCATTTCTAACACGGGCCCGTGCCTGGCCCAAACCTGAAATTCCAGCCGGTCCGGGCCAAAATAATGCCTGACCGGCCGGATGAAGCAGGTAAAGAATAAGTCCAGATGGCTCACTGCCAGCAACCCACCTGAAGCTTATCTGGACTCAGCCGCTGCAACGAGCGCAGCCGACAACCCAATTTGGATCATCAGCCGCTCGCGTCCGCCGACCGTTAATAACTATAATATTATAATAACTATAATAATCTGCTGACTCTTGTTAATAAACAAGAAATCTTATATCTTCCTTTCTTTGAAATACATTTTTAAATCATGACAAACTGATTTGCTTACAAAAGCAGTAAAAGTTTAATAAAAAAAAAATGTTTTTGTCGGGTTCGGGCCTGTAATCGCAGTTAGTTGGTCGTTTCGGGTCGGGATCAGAAAAAATGATACGGGTTTGGGCCGAGCCGAGTTGGATTTTTTTAGGCCCGAATGCAAATCTAGTATACAGTAGTCCCTCACTACTTTGCAGTTTGACTTTCGAGGACTTGCTCTTTCGTGGTTTTTCAAAGTAAGATTGAACACGACACGACTGTCAACTTTATTACTCGTGATTGGGACAGTACAGGATACTTTAAAGCAAAAAGTTAATTAAAAATAAAATACTTTGGACAAACGCTGCCATTTTTTAGATTTCTCTCCATAAGCCTACACTGTATTTCGCTCGTAATGAATACATTTCCCAGAAGCCAAGAGTGCTCTTCTAGAAGCCCCATTGCCTTCTGCTGAAATATTAGAGGGAAAGTTTTGATCTGACTGGATAAAGTTTGGTGCTTATTACATGACTTAGGTGCCCAGCAGATGCAGAGGGCCGCACGGAACCCACCGAGCCAGACCAGAACTGAAGCAGAACCTGACCTCCAGACTCATTAGTGAACCCAAGAGCTGCTAGTCGGCCCACAAGGACTTCCGAGCAGGGGACGTGTCGCTGTAGGTCCGGCTTCTCTCTGGAGCCCACCGGGCCTTTTTTCATCCAGATTTGGACTTAGTCTGTTCCTGTGCTGGCCATCCAAAAGTCCGGCTCCCTCCAAAATTTGTTTTGGTGCTCAAGGGCTGCACAGAACCGGACCAGAACTGGAGCAGAACTGGACCCTCAAACTCATCGGTGAACCCGAGAGCTGCTAACCAGCCCACGAGGACTTCAGAGCGGAGTACACACCGTTGTAGGTCTGGCTGCCCGTTGCTACTACCCCGAGCCAGAGAGCCAGCCAGAACCGACAGGGTAGGTGAGCCGAAACGGAACCGAGTCGGAGCGGAACCGAGCTGAGGATGTTCTGCAGAGCTGGTGAGCAAAATTTAGTAGTTACACATACATTTGTTGCTAAAATTACGTAGGTTTAAGAGTTTAGAACATTGTGGGCTTCATCGCTGCAGGGTAGGTCTGCAGAAATGGAACTGAGTGGAACCGAGAGCTGGTGCTGTTCTGCGGAGCTAGTTAAGTAAATTTTAGTAGCTACATATACGTATGTTGTTAAAATGCGGTTGGTTTAAGAATTTAGAACATTGCAAGAGTGTGGAAAGGGTTTATAAAGCCTTAAAATACAAACCGGATTCCAAAAAAGTTGGGACACTAAACAAATTGTGAATAAAAACTGAATGCAATGATGTGGAGGTGCCAACATCTAATATTTTAATCAGAATAGAACACAAATCACAGATCAAAAGTTTAAACTGAGAGAATGTATCATTTTAAAGGGAAAAATCTGTTGTTTCCAAATTTCATGACGTCAACAATTCCCAAAAAAGTTGGGACAAGTCCATTTCTACCACTGTGTGGCATCCCCCCTTCTTCTTACAACACTCAACAGACGTCTGGGACAGAGGAGACCAGTTTCTCAAGTTTAGAAATAGGAATGCTCTCCCATTCATGTCTAATACAGGCCTCTAACTGTTCAATCGTCTTGGGCCTTCTTTGTCACACCTTCCTCTTTATGATGCGCCAAATGTTCTCTTTAGGTGAAAGATCTGGACTGCAGGCTGGCTATTTCAGTATCCGGATCCTTCTCCTACGTAGCCATGATGTTGTGATTGCTGCAGAATGTGGTCTGGCATTATCGTGTTGAAAAATGCAGGGTCTTCCCTGAAAGAGATGACATCTAGATGGGAGCATATGTTGTTCTAGAACCTGAACATAGTTCTCTGCATTAATGGTGCCTTTCCAGACATGCAAGCTGCCCATGCCACAAGCGTTCATGCAACCCCATACCATCAGTGATGCAGGTTTCTGAACGGAACGTTGATAACAACTTGGGCTATCCTTGTCCTCTCTGGTCCGGATGACATGGTGTCCCAGTGTTCCATAAAGAACTTCAAATTGTGACTCATCTGACCACAGAACAGTCTTCCATTTTGCCACACTCCATTTTAAATGACCCTTGGCCCAGTGCAAACGTCTGAGCTTGTGGAGCTTGCTTAGAAATGGCTTCCTCTTTGCACTGTAGAGTTTCAGCTGGCAACGGCGGATGTCACGGTGGATTGTGTTCACTGACAATGCTTTCTGGAAGTTTTCCTGAGCCCATTCTGTTATTTCCTTGACAGTGGCATTCCTGTTTGAGGTGCAGTGACATTTAAGGGCCCGGAGATCACAAGCATCCAGTAGTTTTACGGCCTTGACCCTTACGCACAGCGATTGTTCCAGATTCTCTGAATCTTTTGATGATGTTATGCACAGTTGATGATAACTTAAAAGTCTTTGCTATTTTATGCTGGGTAACACCATTCTGGTATTGCTGCACTATCTTTCTGCGCAACAAAGGTGGAATTGGTGATTTTCTTACCATCTTGGCTTCTGAGAGACACTGACACTCTGAGAAGCTCTTTTTATACCCAATCATGTTGTCAATTGACCTAATTAGTGTTAATTGGTTTTACAGCTGTTCGTTATATGCCCAATTTCCTTTTTCCAGCCACTTATTGCTACTTGTCCCAACTTTTTTGGGATTTGTTGACACTGAGAAATTTTGAATCAACATATTTTTCCTTTAAAATGTTCCATTTACTCAGATTAAACTTTTGATCTGTCATCTATGTATTATTACAAATAAAATATTGACATTTGCCATCTCCACATCATTGCATTCAGTTTTTATTCACAATTTGTTTAGTGTCCCAACTTTTTTGGAATCCGGTTTGTATATATAAATACTAAAATAAATATAACTTTGCTACTTCGCAGATTTTCAC